AAAAAAAAAAACCATTCATAACAGAGATCAGAGAACACAAATACCAGTCCAAAATTTTTAATTTATTAGATAATTGAGAGAGTTGAAGAATGAAGGTTACTTACAACATTTACCAGAACACTAACAAATCAAGAATATATAATATACAATGGCACTACCTACTTGTGTGAGCAAATGAATGGCAGCTCACAGCAGCAAAATCCAAATGCCTTTAGGCTTCAGATCATCTCAACCAAACAGTGATTTATTCAATACAATGAACTAATTTATCTCTGGAGAGGAGATGTTCAGGTGTAATGAGACTGGCCAAGCACAATCTCTATGCACACAATTGTATATACACTCCCAAAGGCCTGGCGTTCTTCAGTTATGATTTTATTTCTTCATTCTCTATGTTAATCAGGTACCTGCTAACTCCAATATTCAAGAAATCTCTGTGAAAAAAAAATCATGGACAATTTCTTTTTTTTTTTAGCTCCAATGGAATATTTATCAGTTAGATATTATAGGGGAAAGGGTCATGCTGCATTGCATTCAACCTCGGTCCATAATCCTTCATTGCGGCTCAAAATAGCTATCGTATATTGAAAGCCGGTCAAATGCGTCAAAATTTGCCTTCAAACCAATAAACTGACTTCCAAACTGAGCACAACCAGCATGTGGCCATCTACACCCTCCATCCCTCGTACGTAACGGGCACAAAGACCCACAGACACTATTCATTGGACTTCCTGAATCATCATCGTCATCCACACCATCATGTGGCGTATGAGCAAAACGGGACATGGTATTATCCGACTGCTCGTCGTGAGTAAAATAACCACCTGACTGCATATCAGACACCGAAAAGAGTGGTTTCTGAGGAATCTCTGTCGAGTTGTTCTCGATGCTGACAATGCAATCTCCATCCTCAGAGAAGTGAACTTTGCAGCCCAAAGATTGAACGGCCCGCTTTATGGCAGCTGTTTCTCGTTTGGTTATCCTCACCCAATCCCTTGCTGAGCTGTTGCTGAGCTTCTCATTTCGCAGCTCGACTGACAAGGACTCTACAGTGGCTTCTGTTTCTTTAACTTTTGCCTCCGCCATCTCTTTAGCCTGAAAAGTTTATAACCAGTATCTTTATCATAAACCTCTATGGATGGTCATTAAAAGATTGACTAGGTTGCACTACATTAGCTTTCCCAAGAAAGAGAAGAAAAGAAAGAACGAAGAAAAGGAAAGAACAAGAGTACGCCAAATTTTCACATAAATGATAAACCCTTACTGAATCAAGTATGCTCGACCAGAAAAAAAACATTTTATTACCTTCTGCAGTTCACAGATTTTCTTAGCCATATTCCTGCAGTGTACTTCAATCTCCCCAGCTTGGGCTTCTGATGGACAAGACCATCGAAGGTGGAACTGGGGCCAAAGTGTTGGAGCTAAAGCTGCGGCTGGAGGTAGTAATGGGCCTTGAAATTTCGATGGTTCGTAAAAGTGGTTATAATGCACATGTGATCTCCCATCTGAAGCCCGCACATCAGCTAAATACATCCACAAGCACCCGCATGCATCATAAACACCAGCTTGCTGCCGTTCTCTCTCACTGAAATTTGAGAAACCAATTACACATGATACAGAGAGGTAACCAATATGATAAGGCATAATATGAGTTTAATAAATGATACATAGTTTGTTGAACAACAGAAAATCTCTAGTACTTCAATTTTTTAGGCCAGATTAACCAATTTTGGTCTCCTACAGTAAGTATTAAAGTAACTGAGATGAAGCAGCTTTCATGTTGGTGCCCCAAATCCACAGGAAACTAACTGCTTGAAGTCACATTGCAGAGTGAGGCCAGATTAAACGGTCATTGGCCCGACGGGTCGGCTCGTTCAAAAAAAAAAAAAAAGAGAGGTTAGGGCCTTTATTGGTAGCCCGTTTGAATCCGGCCATTCTACTTCCATGTAGGTATCAGGTATGAAGTATGAGATGTAGTGGGTTATTATGAGTTTAAAAGATATGTATTAACAATATTATTATTCTACTTCACACCAAAATATTTAATTCAAGAACTGCTAATAAAAAACACGTGAGACAAAGATGTAACACATAGAATATAGATACAATATAGTGATAGAATATAAAATCAACAGTGTGATACAATATCGTGAAAATTCTCGAAGCGTTAGTAAAAATGGTAATTATAAGCAATAATTCGAACATTTTTTTCTTTTGAGAAAAAATATGCTATTGAAGAGTTTGTAATGTATGTTCATACATGAAGTGTAGTTGTATATATAGAGTGGTATATACTAAATAGCCGCTGAAACAAATTGTTAACTAGTCATTGTAGTTTTATATACACACACACACACACACACACACACATATATATATATATATATATATTATTAGTAGTAGCCAAATCAATTTATCAGTTGGCATTGGCATTGACAATTGACCTCATCGCTTATTTATGGTAAGAAGATGATAAAATGAGAGTTTTTAATTGTCTAATGGAAACCAAAAATCTATAACACAAAGATGTGTGACTCGAGTCTCTAGTAGCCACTGAGTTTAATGAGGTGTATATTTCTTTTGGGACATTTTGTGCTTTTTGTTTGGCACCAAATTTTTTAATCTTCTATAGTGCTTTATAACTTTCTATGTAGACATGACCACGGCCAGTTCGAAATCGGTCCAAAACTAGGCTCCGCCAGTTCCATGTATAATTCTGTGGCGCTCAAGAAATTATAACCTACATTTTTTTTCTTTGTCCAAGAAAGTTCACTTTGAACAGAAAAGGGTACAACAGACATGCAACAAACATTTTGAAAAGCAAGACAACATATGGGCTCCATTATGGCTTTAAGTTTTCAATTTGCAAAGAAAGCCTCATACCTGTTACAGAGAAAATTCCCAAAACGGCAGGAAAGCACACAATCCACCAACTCTACCAGGAAGACCTGCACAGCCAATAAGTATCAAACAATATCAAACTGTTGTCTGTAGAACAAATTAGACGTATTTTGACACATCAGATGAAGGCACATTACCGAGGAGAACTCAAATGCAAATGGATACATTCGTAGAAGTTGTGAAACACAATCGACCCACTGTAGAACAATTAAAAATTGGAAAGAAAACAATCAGTGTCCATTGAAATAACAACTACAAACAGTTAGGGATGCATCGGGATGAATTTCAGAAGAGGTTTCTATAATATAAAACTGAAGATACAATAAAGAAATCTAAAGACTTGTTAGCCCAAATGATTTGCCACCCCTAATTTGCCATAAACTTAAGTGCAGCTGCTAATCACAAGCGTTGATGCTCTTATCGGAATAGTGGCCCAAAAGAAGCGTTGGTGCAAATCACTTAAATACACCAGGATTCTAAAATCTTAAAAAGTCTTCAGAAATCCCAAATGAATACACCCTTTTAAGAATAACAAATATCAGTAAATATATCTAAGAAAAAGGTCCAAAAGAATATCATCTCTATCAGGCTAGCCCGTTAATAGCCTGTTTCTTACTGTGCCTCATAGTGCCGGCGATAACGCCCTAAACCTGTAAACCCTACCCCAAACCCTTATGTGTCATTTCCATATTGGTCAATCATTTTGTGCCTCAAATTGCCACTCTTATGGCAAATTGATGTCTCTCATTCTAACATGTGACAGTTATACTAACAAGAACAATGAGTCCTCTAGGATAATACCACTTGTAAGACAAGCTGAAGAGAACATTCTGCATATAGAAAATTAAGTACGCAAAACTATCAAGTACTACAAAATATGTGGATAAGAAAATAATCGAAGCTAGCAGTGATGATTAACTCCAGTACAAGCACCTGCAAAAAAATTGGTGAGGACTGATTCTGTGCATGCGAAGATGTTGAATGAGGTGTGGATGTGCCAGATGATTGGCGCATTGGTGATGAAGGTATACTCCCCGTAGATGCTTGTCGTGAAAATTCACCAGGAAGGCCATCACTTCCTGATACAGTAGGCATTCCAAGTCGATCTGAAAATGGATGCCCAAATGCAAGCCAATCCTTCTCTACTAGTGCCTGTATTTTAACAGAAAAGACTCAATCAAAGTTTGTTACTGAAGCTAATCTTTCGGAAATGTAAGCAAAACTTAGCTTCAAAATATCAGTAGAACAACAATAATAAATACTTCTACTGGCAGTCTAATGGTAACTTTTGCTGCATCCAACAAAAGTAACTCATTTACAAAATAACATATAATAAGAATGTCAAACCAAAATGAAAACAAATTAATTACCACAGTACAATCAAGGGTACAACAAACTAACGGTCAAGCGAAGAAGATCAAGCATCGAGCAGTACCTGAAAACCTTGGATTGTCCGGTAATATGGATCAAGCAACAAACTTGCAAGGGACACTAACTGAGTTGTTCTATCCCATCCATCACTACAAACAAGATTTTGTTAAAGATCAAAGAAACAAATAACACTTGCTCTTCTTTCTAATATAAGTGAAAAATGCTTATTCCAGACAGCAGATATGCAGAATTTCATTCCTCAGACTAAGCAAAAATAAAAAAATAAATAAATAAAATGGTGCACAAATCTTTAAAATTGATAGAATTCGGGAATTTGCCATTTGGAACTATTTAACATCGAGTATGGGACAAAAGATGGGTATGCTAATGCAACATATCAGAAGGTAAACAAAGTTGACAGATGCAACAAAAAAATGTAAATACTCCGACCAAATTAGGGAAAAAGATATTCTCATACCTGACAACCAAAACATTCTTACTAATCAACACTAGGGTAAACATAATTCTTGTACCTCATTTCTCCTGACTAATGCACCCTTTTGTCTGGTGTTTAAAGGTTTAAATGTAGAGTAACACAAAATTAACCAGCATAACTTGCTAACAAGTATTGTTGATATCTCATTACTTTAATTCTTTATCAACATATAAGCAAACCAACCCCGTGCCTCCATCAACATAACATGAACTAGACGCACTCATGTGCAATTATCAATCATAACCACTAAAAGAATTAACATCTATCCAACGCTAAACCAGATTAAAAATTGGTCACCAGTAAAAGAAGTTCAAATGCAAAAACGTTGAAGGAACTTGGCATTAAATCACCATGGCAAAAGATATCAATCGATGAGTCACTAACATATGGGTAGCCCAAGAATTTTCTATTCATAATTATAAGATCACTTCTATTGTTAACAAAAATGAGGCGAAGCAAAATTATTTATGCGTAACACACAAGATGCCTTACCTACAATGAACAAGCACTGTGGCAGATTCCAGAGCAACACGAGCAGCAATCCATGCTGAACCAGCCAAAACACTCTGGACATGTATCAGCCAACCACTGTCCCCAAGAGTTGAGACTGAAGCAGACATACTGCTGAGATTACCTCCTCCCCACGTCCACCCTCCATGCCTCTATCAGTTAAAAAAACCAGGTCATAAACCAAGTACGTACCAAAACCCTATAAGTTCCTACAAATTGCAAACAACATTGACAAATCAATCATTTACAAATAATTGGAGGAATACATTTTCCTTTCCAATTCTTCAGCTTGAGTTCTTTTTTTCTTTTAGCTTCTGCATCCATTTGCAATCACAAATAATTTTTGTTTCTTAAACACTCTTGTTCCTAATACAATAATCACTTCTTAAAAGCAAGTTTTTCTGCAGATGCTCCCCCTAAGTTTGTTCATTATTTCGTAATACATTTCAAATTAAATGTAATTCTTTGTAACCAGAAAGATCTTCGCTTCTACATATTGATAACCATACCAAATATGAAGACATTCCATCGGATGAATTGGCACCATGTGTGTCCACATAATCTCGAAGTCGGACAAGGCTCTCTCGCATAGCATGTATATTGTCTATCCCGAAGAAGACTATCTGAAGAGAGTATAGTCAAATTAGCATAAACGAAAGATAGCAAAGAAAACAGTAGTAGTTGTGACATTCAGGTAAGCGACTGGATGATAGAAAGATAGAGAGACCTCAGACTGAGAATAATTGGCGGACGACTCTGATCCACCACCCATTGCTCCATTTGCCAGAGCATTTTTACGAGGTCTTGCATCAGCGATGTATAGCTTCCTAATAGATGCAGATTTAGTATAATGACTCCCTCTTGTATACACTCAAACATTTCGGGTCAACATCAGAAACATTATGTATATGCAATTGTGGCGTGAGTTGGTTGCTCAATAAACAGAACAAAGGAGAGAAGTAAGCTATATAAACAGAAGACATATACTCAATTTGAATTAGCATCACCTCCTGCGTTCCTTGATTCCAGCAAGTTGAGTCCACAGAGAAGCGACAAGCTTTTCATCAGCATTACTGTACAGAGGACAAAATCTCAGGACATTATACAAAAAAGAGAACTGAAACCTTAACTCCCAAAATCTTTTATTATAACAAATCTATGCCACAACTAACGACTTAAATACTAGAACATCCACATGATTCTGATGATCTGATACTCACCTTCTCATATTCATCATGAGGCCAACAAGTGGCTGTGAAGAACGTGCAAGAACAGCTCCAGTTCCTACAGTCCACCAAAGTTAAACTGATTAGAATATAAAGATAAAACATTCATTTGTGAATTAGGATATACCTGGATGACACCAGGAAATTGCAGGCAACCTACAACGTGCACGGAAGGTACAGGCCTGCTGAATATCTACATCGCTGATAATAGAAGCCGGGCAAAGACATGATGCAGACCGACACAAGAGGATTATTGACACTTGCTGTGAACTACAAACAAAAAAAACAAAAGAGAGCAGCGCATCTTACCTCATGGAGTTTGGAACAAGCAACGCAAATGGGTAGGTCGGGCACATTGCATAATTAGAGTTAACACTGCTTATTCTCCACCATTCATTGGACAATGTGAATGAGCCGTCTTCGATTGTTCTAGAGGAAGCATGATGTGATACTAGTCCAAGAAGACGGAAGTACTCATTCAATAGCCTCACCTTAGGGTTTGTGTTACTGAATTTTGAAGGCCCAACAGCAAAAGCATAGAGATCCCAAAGTCTAGCTGGCCTAGCGCACCTCATTAGGGCATCATATACGGCACGCCTCTGCAACTCACCATTTTCATCATTAGGTTTACCTTATTAGAAATTTATGATATCACAGATTCATTCTCATCATCAGTTGTAAACTCTTTGTACAATTTTGAGATGGTAATTCGTATGTTGAACTTTCGTCAATACGGTTAAAAATAACAGAAAATAAACTTTTACCCAGAAAAAAAAAAAAAGGAGATCAAGGACAATGATATTGCACACGCACCCGGCATCTACCTTGGTGGTCTGAGGTGGAGCTTTAAAGCAATCAAATAAATATAATTACCTTGTATGAGTTAGCGTGTACAACTATATTACAATGTTTGTCTAAGAAGTAACACTCTACAATGACAGTATTAATGTAAGATTCATTGTAGAGTTGTCTTACTGATAAAAAGGTTCCTATAGTTGACTTCCCTTCCAAAAGGCTTGTATCTTCTTTAATAATACTGTAAATGTTATATATTAAATGGTAAATGGTAAATGACTTTCAGAAACCCACTAATTTGATCCCAGTGAAATGCAAAGAGTTTCATCTGCAATTGTGGCCTTTCTTTACTATTTTGTTTTCTCACCAATGTGCCCACAACAAAAAAATGTCTTACATCTACAGTCATTGAATAGCACTAGATATAAAGTTAATGTTTGCTACAAAGGAAAAATTCAAGTATATCAAAATATAAACTGCTCTTAATTGTGAAGATATAGAACAATAGCCAACTTCTTTTCACATGCACTGCTTTTTAAGTGAATCTCCTTCCTTCTCCCCACCATGAAGAACTTCCATACCAAATATCCACACTATCTACTAATCTGTGATTTCTCTGAAATCTTGATAGATCCAGTCCAGAAGCAAATCAAACTAGCAAGTACGACAGAATCTACTTTAAGATAGCAGAAATTACTCAAAGCCCATCTTCACCAGATCAAACAAAAGGCTAAAAATATCAAAAGGAAGAAGACGCATATATAAGCACAAAGTATAAAAAAATTAAACAAATGAACTGCCCATCCAGGATGGCTGACCTGTTTTGTCCGAGGCCGAAATCCAAAGACAATGATCCTCATATCTCTGCCTGCAGTTCATAAACAAAACCAGTAACTTAATGCAATCAGTTGCACAGCATAACTATGTTCAATCACAGCATGGACAGATAAAGCAGACGCTAATTCTTTAGTAAATATAACAGGCAATAATTTGGGACTACAGAAAAATTCCAAAATCCTTTCATCAATTATAGTAAATATAACAGGCATTAATTTGGGACTACAGAAAATTCCAAAAATCTTTCATCAATAACTGCATACAATTGCAATATATTTTTTCCCTTTGATGCTGCTTTGGGTATTCTTATTCAGGAGATTTTTCCAGTTGCTCAATAATCATATTAAGTACATGTATCGCTAATTTTCCTAACAAGGATTTGTAGAAGCATACCAATGACCTGAAGCAGTCGTTGAGATGGAGCTTTATCAACTTGTCTAGGGCCAGATGAAAGTTTCATAACCTTCAACCAGAAAAAGTAATCAGATTTAATAATTTCTAAAGTCCGCACAAAAAAAAAAAAAAAAAAAAAAAAA